CTCTGGCCTCCAGCAGAGCCACATCCACGTCTGTGCCATAGGGAGCACAAAGCTGTGGTTGTTGAAGCCTCTCCCTCAGCCCTCCACCTCCCCCTCACCCCACCTCCACCCCCACACCCCTCCCCTCACCCCACCCCCCTCCACACAAGTATGTCATGGTGCCAGTTCAGTGAGTGCAGCTGACACAGGCCTGTGGTCACTGGCAACCGGTCGCTGTGGCTGAACATGCTTTGAGCTCTGGGCCTCACCCCATCCACAACTTCACACTTGAAGAGGCTCTCTGGTCTCGCTCTGGTCTCTCTCCCTGGTCTCTCTCTGGTCACTCCCTCGTCTCTCCCTGGTCTCTCCGTCGTCTCTTTCTGGTCACTCCCACGTGTCTCTCGGGTCTGGTATAGTCTCTCTCTGGTCTCTCCCGTGTCTTTCTCTATTTTCTCCCTTGTCTCTCTTTGATCTCTCTCTGGTCTCACTCTGGTGTCTCTCTATGGCCTCTCTCTGGTCTCTCATCTATTTCTTGTCTTTCTCTGGTCTCTCTCACTGGTCTCTCTCCCTGGTCTCTCTCTGTTTTCTCCCTCGTTTCTCTTTGATCTCTCTCTGGTCTTTCACTGGTCTCTCTCTAGTGTCTCTCTGTTCGTTCTCTCTGGCCTCTCTCTGGCCTCTCTCTGGCCTCTCTGGTCTTTCTCTCATCTCTCTGGCCTCTCTCTGGTCTCTCTCTCTGGTCTCTCTCTGGTCTCTCTCTCTGGCCTCTCTCTGGCCTCTCTCTGGCCTCTCTCTGGCCTCTCTCTGGCCTCTCTCTGGCCTCTCTGGTCTTTCTCTCATCTCTCTGGCCTCTCTCTGGTCTCTCTCTCTGGTCTCTCTCTGGTCTCTCTCTCTGGCCTCTCTCTGGTCTCTCTCTGGCCTCTCTCTGGCCTCTCTCTGGCCTCTCTCTGGCCTCTCTGGTCTTTCTCTCATCTCTCTGGCCTCTCTCTGGTCTCTCTCTCTGGTCTCTCTCTGGTCTCTCTCTCTGGTCTCTCTCTGGTCTCTCTCTCTGGCCTCTCTCTGGTCTCTCTCTGGCCTCTCTGGTCTTTCTCTCATCTCTCTCTCATCTCTCTCTGGCCTCTCTGGTCTTTCTCTCATCTCTCTGGCCTCTCTCTGGTCTCTCTCTCTGGTCTCTCTCTGGTCTCTCTCTCATCTCTCTCTGGTCTCTCTCTGGCCTCTCTGGTCGTTCTCTCATCTCTCTCTCATCTCTCTCTGGTCTCTCTCTGGTCTCTCTCTGGTCTCTCTCTCGTCTCTCTCTGGTCTCTCTCTGGTCTCTCTCTGGTCTCTCTCTGGTCTCTCTCTCTGGCCTCTCTCTGGTCTCTCTCTCATCTCTCTCTGGACTCTCTCTGGTCTCTCTCTCTGGTCTCTCTCTGGTCTCTCTCTGGCCTCTCTGGTCTTTCTCTCATCTCTCTCTCATCTCTCTCTGGTCTCTCTCTGGTCTCTCTGGTCTTTCTCTCATCTCTCTCTCATCTCTCTCTGGTCTCTCTCTGGTCTCTCTCTGGCCTCTCTCTGGCCTCTCTGGTCTCTCTCTGGTCTCTCTCTCATCTCTCTCTCATCTCTCTCTGGCCTCTCTCTGGTCTCTCTCTGGTCTCTCTCTGGCCTCTCTCTGGTCTCTCTCTGGTCTCTCTCTGGCCTCTCTCTGGTCTCTCTCATCTCTCTCTGGTCTCTCTGACGGTAACTGTGCCCCTTCTTCTTGGCAAAAGGCCTTCAGTTCCTGTAAATTCCCGGGCTGCCATATGAACTACACACATGTCTCCAAAGCTGCTGTATGTTGCAATTTGAACATAGAAAACATTTATTCGGCCCAAACACTAACGACGAGTGGAGGAAAAGTGTTATCTGAAAAAAGTGTGAAATATGAACAAGGCCCTCTCTGAACACCCAGATGCCCTCCCGCTCAGCTGTGAGTGACAGAGCTTTCTCCAACGTCATCAGGAGCAGTTTAGACATGTCTCTTGTGAAACCATGTGACACCATCAGCCTATGAGTGGGAACCATGTGACATCACCAGTTTGTGTGAGTGTAGATGAGAAAGTGGAACAAAGCCAAATATACAGGAAGTCTTTTCAAAACAGGAAATACACAAAACACCAGCGAGCGACAAGAGCTGGTCAGACTACAGCCACTTAAAGAAGGATGCCACATGGTCTTTCTGAGTTACTACATACTTGTCTCTCTTTGGTCTCTCTCTCTCTGGTCTCACTGACTTCTGGTTAAAGGATGATGCCACATGGAGAGTTTTTACCTACTACATCCTGATCAACCATAACCACACCTTTAAACGTTGGTATTTTAAAATGTGTTGGTCTGGGTAGACCACTACTGAGACAAGGCCTGAGACTTGGTCTCTCTCCCTGGTCTCTCTATGGCCTTTCTCTGTTCTCTCTCTAGTCTCTCACTCTGGTTTCTCTCGGGTCTCTCTCTGGTCGATCTCTGGTCGATCTCTGGTCTCTCACTTTTCTCTCTTTGGTCTCTCTTGTCTCTCTGTTCTCTCTCTTGTCTCTCTCTGGTCTCTCTCTGGTCTGTAAACTTTACCTGGTCAGCAGGTTTACCAGAGTCGTAGATAGGACGTCCCAGCTGCTGTGACCCCTGGCCCCTGCCCCTCTGACCCTACACCTGCCCTACTCCTCCACTTTCAGACAGATTTAATAATAACATTTATTTTAGTTAAACCTGAAAACCTTCTCTAAAGTTAGAGATGTTATACTAGCTTCTTTGTTGAGCTAAAGTTACAGATTTATACTTGCTTCTTTATGTTGCTAAAGCTAGAGATTTCATTTTATTCTAGTATAGTTGAGTAAGTAATATTTATCTGTGTAGCGCCTTTCATAGACCAGTGTCGCCTACAGGAGGCACACACCAGACCTATTGTACATGTTTTTAGTGGTGTTAGAAATCTGGAGGAAACCTGGGGGGAGAACATGCAAACTCCACTCAGATAGGGGCTGTCCTGACCTTACCTCGAACCCAGGACCTTCAACAGCAGTTTTCTCTGAGGACTATACAATACTGTCGATTCACCAACACAGATCAGAAAATCAACCAGTTCAAAGCTTCTGAGTCAGAGTTAGGGCAGTGTAACATTTCCAGTGTGTGTTGCTCCCGTGCGCACATGTGTGTCGTTCCCGTGCACACACGTGTGTCTCTCCCGTGCAGACGTGTGTTGATGACATTATCTCCACGTAGACTGTCCTTACAGTCCACAGACAGGGTTAATGTTTAACCGTGGCGTTCGTCGGCTCCACGTGCTGTGCTCTGCACATGCACACGCACACACGCACCTCTGATACCAGCTCAGAAACTCACAGCTGTTTTAGGAGAAAAGAGGAAAGAGGAAATTGAAAGTATTGGAGAGAGGAGTATTGCAGAGTTCCGCAGGGCACTCAGAGACTCACGAGGTGCAAAGTCTAATGGGAAACATTTATCGGGAAATGAAAAACTGTTGAAGGAATTGTTTTTATTGGCAAAAGCAACAGAAAAAACAAGAAATGACAAAAAGGCCATCTGCACAAGTATAAATCTGGGAGAGGCTCCTGGATCCAGAGGGTGAAGCTTCAGAGTCACAACACGAGAAGACTGACCCTTTTTAAGGCAACTTTATTTGTATAGCACACTAAATACAACACATGAACAGTACATTTAAAATTCCTCTGTTGTTGCTGCAAAACAGAACCTGGGAACATTGGGCCTCGTTCACGAATATCTTCGTAAGAAACTTCTTAAATTTCTTCTCAAGTCGTTCTTAAGTAGATTTCTAAGAAGACCCTACGTGGGATTCATCGACGCGCTCGTAAGCCGCTGAATTGTTCGCGGCTGTTCTCTTAGATTGATGAATGCCATCTCCTCGTAAGTAGAGCGCGCATGCCAGGTGATTCATTAGCACAGGTACTTAGCATAGGTAACCGCCCATTAATGCCCAAAAAAGGGACTGCAGGGCCGTGTGCAGACGCCACTCAGGAAACAGCAAAATGCCAAAAGCGAAGAGCAAGTCCGTTGGAGCGCAGCCAGTAAAGAGGAAAAAGAACTTCAGCAGTTCAGAACTCTAAGTCCTGCTGCTGGAGGTCACAAGGAGGAAGAAGACAGTAGCCTCAGTGCAGGTTGCACTAATACCAACAAGGAGGCCTGGGAGGCAGTTTGGCGTGCGGTGGATGTGGTCTCAGGAGAGGGACGCACCATAGAGGAGGTCAGAAAGAAGTGGTTCGACCTGAAATCCAAAACGAAAAGAAACATAGCCAAACACCGGAGGGAGACGCAACGGACTGGAGGGGGGGCAGCAGACACTATGCCCATGTCTGATTTGGATCAGCGCATTGGGAGATGGGCACTCTCAGGTATAGGCTATGGGAACAATCAAGGTCACTGTATTTAATCATATTAATTAATTAATATTCCCCATCTTACTTTTCAGGTGTACCATCATCTGAGTCACTGGACACAGACCTGGGCCCAGATGCAACGCGTTCACCCACTCCCTGTGCCGCTGCCATTCCAGTTGAATCTGAAGGTAAAAAATGTCTTTTAATTTGTGCCTTATTTCTATGTTTATTTCTATGCTTAAAGCATGAGCCCGGTAAGGGTGGAGTCTACCACAGTGTGTAACCCAAATACGGCCTTTGTGGGACTGGGGTTGCAACCTTGGCTTGAGTTGTAATTTATTTATTTCCTTTGATCACAGATGAAGTCCCGCAGAGAGACGCCGATCCAGAACTGACAGAGCCCTCCTGTAGCAAATCCACACAAACCCGTGCCTCTCCACGTCCACGCTTGATCTCGGACGCGGTTCTCCAGAATCAGGAAAGAACTGCCGAGTCCCTGGAGAAGATTGCGTCCACACTGGGAACCATATCTCAGACACTCAAAGATTTGCATGAGCAGCTCAAAAATAAATGAAGGTGTGCACTGGAACTGGTCTGTCTTAATATTTGAAGTGAATCACAGACTTATATTCAACATATAATATTTACACTTTATTTACAAACGGGCAATTAAGTGCTCTCTAACATGAACGGCGTGCCTGCAGTCTGGTCACAGCATTGCATCAGGGCGCACATCCTGACGGTGTAGTGGCTGAGGGGGAGGGGCACACCACGCTTCATCGCGATGTTGTGCAGGACACAGTAGGCCATGATTATCCTACAGACCTGTAATGGTGAGGGAGAGCCATAAAATTAGCTGCATGGAATTTAAATTAATCTAAACTAGGTGATTCTCCTTATAGGTTAATAAAATAATCAGTTGCCTTACCTTCTCTGGTTTATACAGCAATTTTCCACCTGCTGTGTCCAAACACATCCAGCGTCCCTTCAGTATGCCGATGGTGCGTTCAATGATGGAGCGAGTGCGCACATGCTTGTCATTATAGACACTTCCTGAGGAGTCTGAGGGTTTGTCAGTGGTGTCATCAGCCAAGGGGCCAGGGCATATCCTCGATCGCCAAAAGGAAATGATGAGGATATTACACTTGTTGGAAATTGTAATTACCAATGAGCCATGCGTCATCAACCGCTCCTTGTTCAAGGCGTGTTCCCACGGAGCTGTTTTGAAATATATAGGAGTCGTGTGCTCCTCCTGGGAACCGGGAAACTACATTCAGGAGATGGTTATTAGAGTCGCAGATGAGTTGTACATTTATGGAGTGGAACTGTTTGCAGTTGAGGTATGGGAAGGAGTCTGGAGAGGGTGCCTTGATGCGCACGTGTGTACAGTCTATTGCGCCAATTGTATTTGGGAGACCAGCAAACTGATGAAATCCCATTTTCACTGAGACTTGCTCCTCTGCTGAGTACGGGAATTTAATGTATTGTGGGACCAGTTGAATAATTGCATCCACAACTCGAGGGAGAGCGCGGCTGATGGATGGCTGTGATATGCCCACCCTGTCCCCCAGCTCCCGTTGAAAGGGTCCAGTGGCCAAGAACCCGAGGGTCGATAGTACCTGCACGTGTGGGGGGACAGGGTTGGACCGATGTGTGTGGCTCCGAAGTGCTCGTGGGAGCCTAAAGCGTCCAAAGAGGTATTCATCGCTCTCCGTAAAAAGATCAACATGATCTTGAAAGATCCGTTCCCTCCGCAGGGACCGATCCGTAACCTCCTGCAGCAGCAGTAAATATGCCATTGTTCTGTGGCCCCTGGATGGACAAATGCCCCCTATAAATAGGGTGGGGTCACTAATTGACGGCATGATTTCCAATGTATTTTAAAAAGTGTTGGCACATTTAATTTGAAAATGAATATAAAAACAGGCTATATACCCAAAAAAAAAAAAGATTAAATACATGCATCAATATGACGGACATATCACTGGAATGTTGTATTTTATTAAACTTCACCAAAGAGGACAACACCAGCGTGCGAACATGTCGGCACTGAATGCGTACGAGTGCTCCTGAGGACTCGTAGGATTTGTACGTACCCAAGAGAAATTCTGGTTACGAGAAATATTCATGAATGCCACATTCTTCGTAAAATCCTCGTAAGTAGGATTTACGCACAAATTTGTTCTTAAGAACCATTCGTGAATGAGGCCCATTGTTCCAGATTTTAGTTGCATAAAACTGCCTCTCCATGTTTAGTCCTGACACTGGGACCAGCAGGAGGCCAGTCCCTGTGCTCCTCAGAGTCCCAGCAGGAGGCCAGTCCCCGTGCTCCTCAGAGTCCCAGCAGGAGGACAGTCCCTGTGCTCCTCAGAGTCCCAACAGGAGGCCAGTCCCTGTGCTCCTCAGAGTCCCAGCAGGAGGCCAGAGTATTGATGTAAATTTCTCCTGTGTGAGATCAATAAAGTATATCTTATCTTATAGGGCACTAACATAAGATAAGATACTCCTTTATTCATCCCGCTGTGGGGAAAGGTCAGCGTCAGGACATGTAAGGATGTGAAGAGACTGAGAGTCCTGTAAAGCGCTGAATCAAACTGATGCATTTGTATTATTATTATTATTATAAAGAAAACGTTTTGCAGCTGTCTTTGTTGTTCACGTTCCATTCTCGACGCCTGGAGCAAAGCCGCCATCCTTCTGAGATGGTGGCGTGCGCTGGGCCGTAATCAGGAGCAGAGAGCGGAGGGGGGTATTCGGAGTGTGTCGGCCAATCACACACCTGCAGTGCATCCAGACGGTGGTCACAGAGGAGGAAATGCCTCTGTCTCCATCAGAGCACACTCACACACTTTGCTCTCACTTATCGACATGTGAGAGGCCCAGTGTCACTGATCAATAATGTGGGTGTGTGCAATACGGATCTGTGTAAAAGGGTCAGGTGCAATATAACAAGGTTTCAAACAAGGCCAACATCTTGGAAGGCTGAACAAGCTAGATTCAAAAAGGTGCTAAATATGTAAAATAAAGAAAAACCAGCACAGCTGTGTAGCTACAAAGTCTATTATTTACAGACCACGATGAATCAGACATGATGATGATGTTTGATAGTGATATGTTTGACAGTTATTGCACACATCTATTAGTCATAAATGTGTGCAATAACTGGATGTCTTTCCCACTCAAATAAAGACACACACACACACACTCATACATAACACTAAAGAGCTTCACTCTTGTCACATGACCTGTGAAAAGTCATGTTCCAGCTTCTTTCCTCTGGCAGAAGATATCATTGGCTGCAGGACATCGGGACACACTAACAGCTTCTTACCGCTGTTCTCAGTCCGAACAAAGCACTTTAATAATCTTTTGTTTCACAGAGATGGTTGCTTCTTTTATCTAGTTTTGAGTCTGTACTTGTCCGGTGGCACTGGGGACGCTTACACATGTTTCCAATGTGGTTTTATTGCAAATGGCAAAGAAACTGAATCTGAATCTGTAAAGGATATGATTCTATTTCTGTCTAAGGTCACACTTCCTGGTCCGGTCCACTCAGTGGAACAAACGCACCCTAAATTACTGCATCGACAAAAAGAGTGAGGCGGGTCGTTCTGACTCGCCAGCACGGGTCTCTCAGAGCTCGAATAAAGGGAGGATGTCATGGGAATGAAGAGTGGGACAGAATTCCATCAGACAGGAGTAAGAAGATGCTTGATGGTGCCAAGTATTGAGAGAGTTCCCACTCTTTAGATTTCTGTTTTGTTCTCAGAGAGCTGCAGACGCTGCTCAGGGACAGAGTCTGAAGATAACGTCAGAAGGATTTAATATGTATCACAAAAGTGCACAAAGTGACAGCGTAGCTACAGGATCCTTTGTGTGTGTGTTTGCGTGTCTCTCTGTGTGTGTGTGTGTCTTTGTGTGTGTGTGTGTTTGCATGTCTCTGTGTGTCTGCTTTTGATGAGCTTTTGAAGCAGAGACTGTGTCCTTGAGGTCAAACTGCTGAAAGAATATATTGTATTCTAGATTAAAAGGGCACTAACGTTATTAAAAACCTTTCTGATAAAACACATTACAAGCACGTATTTCCCACCTTTGCAATGTGTTTTTGTGTTATAGATAAGTAATAAAAAAGTAAAATAACTTTTTTATATCAATGCCTCTGATTGGCCAGAAAAATGATGACGTACTAGTGAGGGTCGCAGCTCTTGCCTCACTGTTTATGGCATTGCTCCTGCTGCTGCTTTGACACATTAAACCTTAAAATGGGTGTATTTTGAACGGCCCCGGGATGCAGCAATGAAAGTAACACAAAGAAGAGTGTAAACGGCAGTCCCTACGATCTTTGACTTATTCAGAGAAGGCCACGGTCCAAACAAACTGAGAGAAGACACCAGCGCCAGTTCCATGAAATTAGTTCTATCAAGCTCCAACTAAAACCAAGTTTACCGAGTTTCAACCCAGTATTCAGCAGAAAACACAACAACTGTCATTGAACCATGAATCCATATTTCACTCTAACTACGTTTAGTAAAAAATATAGATATGACATGACCATCATGTTTTAGACTTTAGAGCCACAGACACATGTTCAGAATAAGACCATAACTCTTACATGTTTGCATTTGATTGAAGACACTCACCATTTCTATCAAACTCAACATCTGGAGCTGGGACATAGAGTTGAGGCTTCTGAGTTGCGGGTTTTGACGTGTTAGCTGATGTTTGCTTGTTAGCTGATGTCCGTAAAAACAGCGTCAATCCATGTTGTCAAACCACCTCCAGACTTTTCAGTTCTGTCGCTTTTACGGCTGGGATCTTTCATTTCACGGTAGTCACTTTTACGCTTCTAAACTTTTCTCTGCACTACGATGTCCCTGATGTTCTCCTTCGTCCCTAGCGCTACCTTCGCTAACACTTAGCTATTTACACTCACTCGGGTGCACCATCGAGCTCAAACTGACCGCATCCGCAAACCGGGTCGAGACGGGTCGGACCCGGTCGGACCATAGATCCATACTCCAGCCCATGGAAATGTCCGCAAATGTCCATTTCTTGCAGATTGACTCGGTTCAGATGAGGAGCAGAGTCCTCAAAATCATAATTACTATCATAACAAGTATACAAGGGCTCATAAATAAAAGCCCTTGACTTGTATTGTCCATCACTGAATGACAAATATCTGTTTAAAACGTCCGTATACAACATTATGGCACAAATGCATATCAACAAAGCCCAATGACACCCATGTGTACGTCACTTCCGGCCTCGGCAAATTTCCGCGAATGTCTTTTTGCATGATTATTATTGATAGAAACTGCTAAGGGTGAAACTATCTGTCAAAATGAGTTTTTGAACTGTCTGATTGTCTGATCTGTGTTGGAGGATCGACAGCGCTACATGTATTGGGGCAGAGAAGTGTAAAACAATATATTTTACCAAAATGTTAAAAACCTAAAACAGTGAGAGCAACTGACCCAATAAAAACAAGTCAGTGAATTCTAATCAAAACATTTAATTACAAATATTAAAACCAATGTTAAAAACCCAAAAGCGTAAAAATGGGCAACATTAAAAGAAAGTAAAAAGGGAAATCCCCGTCGAGGCACGGCATGTCAAGTCTTGAGCAGGCTCCTCTGATGCGGATGCTCCTGCACACAAACATTCACCGGCAGGAAACAGGCCGAAAGGAACGATACAACCAGGGCCGTCTGAAAACTTACAGCAAAGGCCTTCGCTGTGGTCCCGTGGTCCGACTCCCGGGTGTGTGCCCCTGGCCCACTCTCCTCTGGACCTCCGCTCTCAGCAGCCCTCAGCAGTGCCCCGCTCTCTCACTGTAAACCCAAATAACAGCCTCACCTAAAATTATTGATCATACTTTACTTGATTTTTCACCAAGTTTACTACACCCACACACATTTAGTAACCTTTACAATTCATCAATCAATCAATCAATCAAAGTTTATTTGTAGAGCGCCTTTCATACACAGGGCAACACAAAGCGCTTCACAGTCCACATCACAAATCATCACATAAAACAAACACCAGAATCACAATTAAAACATTAAAATCACACAAAAGATTAAAACACAATTAAAACATTAAAATCACACAAAAGAATAAAACCATTAAAACTTTCAAAATTACACAAGAAATTTAAAAAAAATAAATAAATGACAGCAGTGCATTAAAAATGGAGATAAAATCCTTCAGTCGTATGCACAGGCAAACAGAACAGTCTTTAACCTGGATTTGAACATTGACAGAGTAGACGCCTCCCTCACATTTTCAGGGAGATTGTTCCAGATCTTAGCTGCATGGATCTGAAACGCAGCCTCCCCATGTTTGGTTCTCACTCTGGGCACCAGCAGGAGGCCAGTCCCTGTGCTCCTCAGAGTCCGGGCCGGTTCATATGACACCAACATGTCACTAATGTATTCTGGTGCAAGGCCATGGAGAGACTTGTACACAAGCAGAGCCGTTTTAAAATCTATTCTTTGAGCCACAGGAAGCCAGTGCAGAGACCTGAGGACCGGACTAATATGGTCATACTTCCTGGTTCCTGTCAGGACTCTAGCTGCTGCATTTTGGATGTACTGCAGCTGCTTACAGGTCTGTTTGGACAGACCTGTAAGCAGGCCATTGCAGTAGTCTAGCCTGCTGGAGACAAATGCATGGACAAGAATCTCCAAGTCTGCCCTGGACACT